GATCCAGTTTCATTCTTTTGCATGTAGCTGTTCAGTTTTTCCAGCACCATTTGTTGAAGAGACTGTTTTCCCCAATGTATAGTCTTGCCTCCTTTGATAAAGATTAATTGACCATATAATTGTGGGTTTATTTCTGGGCTCTCTATTCTGTTCTATTGATCTATGTGTCTGTTTTTGTGCCAGTACCATACTGTCTTGATGATTACAGCTTTGTAGAATAACTTGAAATCTGGGATTGTGGGTTGTGATGCCCCCAGTTTTAGTCTTCTTTTTCATGATTGCTTTGGTTATTTGGTTTTTTTGTGGTTCCGTATAAATTTTAGGATTATTTGTTCTAGTTCTCTGAAAAATTCTGTTGGTAGTTTGATAAGGATTGCATTAAATCTGTAGATTGCTTTGGGTAGTATGGACATTTTAACAATATTTGTTCTTCGAGTCGATGAGCATGAAATAGCTTTCTGTTTGTGTTGTCTTCAGTTTCTTTCATCAGTGTTGTATAGTTTTCAGAGTACAGGTCTTTCACCTTTTTTGGTTAAGTTTATTCCTAGGCATTTTATTCTTTTTGGTGCAACTGTAAACGTGATTGTTTTCCAAATTTCCCTTTCTTCTTCTTCCTTGCTAGTGTATAGAAATGTAATGGATTTCTCTATATTGGTTTTGTATCTTGCAACCTTTCTGAATTCATTTATCAGTTCTGGTAGTTTTTTGGTGAAATCTTTAGGGTTTTCTAAAAATAGTATTATGTCATCTGTAAATAGTGAAAGTTCTATTTCTTCTTTACCAATTTTGATGCCTTTTGTTTCTTTTTCTTGTCTGACTGCTGTGTCTAGGACCTCTAGTATTATGTCAAATAAGAGGGTTGAGAGTAGAAATCCTTGTCTTGTTCCTGATCTTATGGGAAAAGCTCTCAGTTCTCACCATTGAGTATGATGTTAGCTGTGTGTTTTTCATACATGGCTTTTATTACGTTGAGGTATTTTCCCTCTAAACCTACTTTGTTAAGGATTTTTATCATGTTTCATAGAATATTTAAAATTTTACTTACTTGTTTTTTACAAAATAGAGAGGTTCAACAATCACTTGTACCAACTCAGTGGAGTTTTACTATCTAGAAAAGCTACAGTGTTATAAAGGCTTTTGATTACCTTAAAAGAAATATTGTAAGAATACACATAACCATATTTGATAATTATAAAATAATTTAAATGTATGTTTTAATTTTATGTTATGAGAAATATTTTAAAGTAATACTCCAAAATACTCCAGTTTAATTTTTAGAAAGAATTTTTTAACTTGTTTTTTTAATTGAAATAATCCCATTAATATGCTTTTCTAAAGGCATCTGTGTGAAGTCTTCATTCATTAATTGTTTAAATTGTGCACTTTTCTAAGAAAACTGTTTATACAAAGAAATACTTTGAGAAGTGTCTAAACTTTTATTTCTGGGCTTTATTTCCATTCTTTTATTTCTTAGTATAAAGAGAAATTCCTTTCAGATTTTCACTTGAGCACATATGGATATACTAGTGAGTTAAACCAGTATTTTTAATAAAAGTGGGAATAGGCAAAAGTTAAACTGTTTTAGCTCAAGAAACCTGGCACACAACGCCTCTCAGAATAATATGAAAGAGGAACTTGTCTGGTTGGCTCAGTAGAACTTTAAAACATCCTACCTATATTGTGGAGTAGGGCAGAATGAGAATAGCAGAGAGGTACCAGTGAAAATAGGAAAAGGAAAAGAAGGGAGGAAAGTTAACAAAGGAAAAGATGCCAGAGAAGTAGGAGGGAAGGCGAGGGATGTGGGGACCATTGCCCATTCATTCATTCCTTCATTTTGCACACATTTATTTTGTGCCTCATATATCAGGACCCTGGCATTTATTTGAGGGGTGGGGAATGTGGGGAAGGGGCAGAGGGAGAAGGAAAGAGAGAATCCCAAGCAGACTCCCCACCCAGCATGGAGCCTATTGCGGGGCTCAATCTCATGACCCCGAGATCACGACCTGAGCTGAAATCAAGAGTAGGTCACTTAACTGACTGAGCCACCCGGGCGCCCCAGGCCCCTGGCATTTTAAACAGAGGATCAAACAAGCCCTTGGTCTCTTCTGAGGCCTAAGCCTATTGTCCCATCCATTGGACTAATGGAAAAGAGCTTGAAACAAAAGATGAGCCAGAGTGGAGAGCGAGAGTGGACAAAGAGATCCAGCAGGGATATCAACAGATTGGATGCCAAAGGACAAGAGAGATGGAAGATGAACTTCTCCTTACTCCTTGGTAGAGTATGGAACCACATCTGGTCTCTCCTCTTCCACACCTACAGGATACCTGTGACTTACTTCTGGTGTCTTCTCTAACCCTGTCCTAGAGAGTACCCCCCTGGGGACACTGAGGACCACACCCACACAACCATCCATCTCCCAGAAAAACCTATATTAGTGTCTTTCACGCAAGGAACCACCATCACTGCCCTCTGAGTATTTTACACAGGAGTTGTGTTTGGTGTCAAGTAAATGGGTAAATAATGAACCAGGATGATAAATGCTGCTAACGAGATGAGTAAATCGGCTAGGTCTGAGGGATCCGGGAAAGTTTCCTGGAGGAAGTTGACATTTCCCCTTGTTAGTTCTTTTTTCTTTCTTTTAAAAAATTCTGTCAGAATAAACCTATTCTGGAAAAGCCTTTAATTTGCTTCACAGTGGAGAAACAAAATGTTTACATTTTGGTTTAATTCAAAAGTTAACGGAGGGGCGCCTGGGTGGCTCAGTCTTTAAGTGTCTGCCTTCAGCTCAGGTCATGATCCCAGGGTCCTGGGATTGAGCCCCACACCGGGCTCCCTGATCAGCGGGAAGCCTGCTTCTCCCTCTCCCACTCCCCCTGCTTGTGTTCCCTCTCTCGCTGTCTCTCTCTCAAATAAATAAATAAAATCTTTAAAAAAAAAAAGTTAACAGATTAGATGGGTTAGATCCGGTGTTTCATTGGTGGCTTACTGTTGGTAAAGTTTCTATTCCCCGCCCCCAAATTCATACCCATTTAAAAATGTGTAAAGTTTCTAAAAGAAAACACAGGATCTTTTGTCCTGCATTTCCACCATCCATTTTATACATAAATATGTGTAGGCAGTACACTGTTGCGACTTAATATGAAACACATGCCCTCAGAGCAATTTAACTAGTGTGTTTAAAATACACCAACTTATTTCCTGATTTGAGACTGCAGTTTTATCAGACTTTTAGAGGAAATGCTAAATCATGATAGGTTGCACTAGATTTCATAGAAGAGCTCTTTAGAGCAGTGGAGGAGTCTCAAAGGACTGAGCGCTTTTTCATACTTTACGTTCTTTCATATAAACCTGATTTAAAGACATTCATTGTCGCTTGTTTTCTTTCTTTCTTTTTTTTTTTTTTTCCTTTACAGAAACTATAACAGTGAGTCAGGATCCATTTGTGGTCCCTGGTTCATCTCAAGTCTGCGGGTCTGCGGTGGCCTCTTCTGCTTTCTTCTTGATGGACTTTGTTCTTTCTTGTCCTAAGCGTCCGTCTCCAGCCCATCTGCTACCCCCCACTCCAGGCGCTCTGCTTGTACTTGGTCTTGGCTGGGATGTCTAATAGGCCGTTTCAAATTTAACACAGCTGAAACAGAGCGCCTGGCCTTGCTCCCAGCTCCCTGCAACCAAACCTGCTCCTTTCCCAGTCTTGCTCCTGTTAATGAATGGCAACATTATGGAGCCCGTTTGGGTCCATGCTCAAACCTGATCCTTGACTCTCTCCATTCCCCTGGATAGTCTGTCATAAATCCTGTTGGCAGCACCACTCACTTCTCCCCACTTTTGCCACCGACATCCAGGCCTCCAGCCTCACCTGAGCTTCTCATTCCCTCTCCTTCCACCCTTGCCTTTCTATAGCCCATTCTCTACACGATGGTCAGAGTGATCCTTTCCAAACAGAAATCCGATCCATTCATGCCTTGGCTCAGAAGCAACCCAGTGGCTTTCTGTCTCATTTAGAAAACAATTTAGACATAGCTCTAAGCACCTAACAATCTCACTACCACTCTGATCTCATATTTCACCTTTCTTCTTCTCCCTTGCCCTGCTTTGCCCATACCAGCTTGCTTGCTGTTACTCTGTACCTAAGAACATTTGCATCCCAGGACCTTTGCACTTGCTCTTTCTGCTGACACGAACGTGCACCCCCACCCCCCACTAGAATTTAAGTTTCATGAAGGCAGGAACTTTGCTTTATTCCTTCACTGCTCATCCCAGCACCTGCCTGAGGCAGCAACGTGTGGCCAGGACCTAGGTTTTCTGATTCTAAGTCCAGTGCTCTTTTTGTGATTATGGGTGGCTTCCACAGGTTTTGAGGTCCTTTGAGCACAGTGATCACACCTTCTATTCCTTTTGGCCCACTCCCCATAGGGTATAGGACTGTGCTATCTAGTCGGTGAGGCCCTTCCATGTCCCTAGTAAATGCCATGGCTGGAATGAATGACTTTCTGTGCTCCTTGTGGTCTGTCATCTCCGATCGCAGACTCTCTTGGGGTGTCCTTCCCTCTTTGTAGGAATAAAAGACAGGCTGCTGTTCCTCATGGATACATAGTGGCATTTGGAAATTGCAGGCAGTTTGAGGGGAAAAGAAAATCCAAGGTGGTAGGAGTCTAGTGCTCAATAAATAGATTATTTGTATTCTGAAACTTAATGTTGTAATGGAACTGTGTAACTTTGGAGGAGAGGATTAGATTGAAATTAACAGCCCCTGTGCTGGTTTAAGGTTTTGTACAGGATGTTGCTATTTCTGCACTTAACCTGATGTTCTTAAGGAAAGTGTGTCCCAGATACCTTCTTTTGCAAATGAAAGAGCATCCCTGTTTGGCTTGGATCTTTCCAAAGCAACTGTTAAAGTATTAAAACTCCTACGTTTGATTTTGAACATTTGTGTTCTCTTGCCTGCAAAGTTTCTTAGGTGACTCTGGTAATCCTGATTGTCTTCCCCTTGTTTTTACAGGTGATCTGCAATGCTTTCACCATCTGTAATGCGGAGATGCAGGAAGTTGGTGTTGGCCTATATCCGAGGTAGGGCAAATGGTATTTCATTTACTAGAAGAAACAACTGTAATTCACCCAGCTCTCCGACCTTGTGGAAGGTGTCAGAAAGGCAATTGCCGCAGCTGGTTCAAGAGCAATGCTCGAAACCTAATGATAAATTCTAAGAAAATGGAAAATGTTACGTTTAAAGAAAAGAATTTTATAACCCTGTAGTATATGCTGTGGTATGAGCAAAGAAGCCCACCTCAGACCTAAATTCTTTTTTATTTTATTTTTTAAAGATTTTATTTATTTATTTTTTGAGAAAGAGAGAATGAGAGAGAGAAAGCACATGAGAGGGGGGAGGGTCAGAGGGAGAACCAGACTCCCTGCCGAGCAGGGAGCCCAATGTGGGACTCGATCCCGGGACTCCAGGATCATGACCTGAGCCAAAGGCAGTGGCTTAACCAACTGAGCCACCCAGGCGCCCACACCTAAATTCTTGATCTCGGGAGCCTTGGAGTAAGAATTTGGGGATCATGGATGCTAACAAAACTTGGTTATTACCTTGGGGCATCTGGGTGTCTCAGTCGGTTAAGCATCTGCCTTTGGCTCAGGTCATGATCTCAGGATCCTGGGATCAGGTCCTATGGGATCAAGTCCCTGGTCTGAGAGGAGTCTGCTTCTCCCTCTCCCTCTCCCCCTCACCCTGCTCTTGCTCTCTCTCTCAAGTAAATAAATAAATCTAAAAAAATTGGTTATTCCCCCACCTGCCCTCATCTTTTTTTTTTTTTAAAGATTTTATTTATTTATTTGACAGAGAGAGAGAGAGAGAGAGAGAACAAGTACGCAGAGAGGCAGGCAGAGGGAGAGGGAGAAGCAGGCTCCCCGCTGAGCAGGGAGCCCGATGTGGGGCTCGATCCCAGGACCCTGGGATCATGACCTGAGCCGAAGGCAGTCACTTAACTGACTGAGCCACCCAGGCGTTCCACACCTGCCCTCATCTTGTTCCTCAGCCTCCTGGGCAGAAGCACAGGAGTGTTTCACCAGACTCACAGTGTTGCACCCGTTGGGGTCATTTGGTCTTTTGGCTCAGCATACTCCAAGCTCCATTACCCCAGACTTTCTGGGTTTGGCCTTCTGAAGTGCTCTCTGCTGCTGCTCCTGAGGTGGACCCTTTTCCCCTGAGCTGCCAGGTTTTCCCTCCATGAACACTGCAGCCACTCCTCGGTCCATTTTGTTTTCATGCTGGAAGGGTGCAAATACAAATATAGTCCTTCTTACCATTAGTTGTGAACCTGAGAATTCAGCTGTTTTTCTCACTTCTCACAAGTGTTGTAAATCATGGGTCTGTTGGTCTGGGTCCTGAGAAAGATGGGTCAGAGCACAGGCTCAGAGTTCACGCCACCTCGTTCCAATTTGGTCCCACTTGCTGGTTGTGCATCCTGGGGCAAGCCGTTGACTTCCCCGTGCTCGTTCCTTCATCTCTCAATGGCCCTCATGAGATTCGAATGATGTTTGAATTTGGAAAACTTGTGTAAGGGCTAAGAAAGTGCTTTCTACACAGTGAGCGCTCACTTACAGTTCTTAGTATTATCCAATATGGTGCAGCTTAAACTCATTCCCTTTCTCAGATGGTAAAAAACCACCTCCATGGTATTAAAACGACTGGGCCGGGGCCCCAGGCGCTCCAGGATCTTGTCAGCAAGATGCCCTTGGCTGTCTGTGTAAGAGGGAGGACTCTCGTTATCCTTCAGGAGGCAGGCAGGTCCTGCAAAGGGGCCGCACAGACCAGAGCTGTGTGAGAAAGGCCGGTGGGGTCCTGGCTGCCGTCTAAGGAGACAGCTGTTCCCCACACTCACCCCCAGAAAGCGCTCAGAAAAGGTTTTTGTTAACACACTTCCCTAAGTAGCCTCCATCTTGGGGAGCATTTCGCTTTATGCAATGTGGGCTAGTGACATTTCTGGGACTTCTCCTAGAGCCCCTCAGTCCCTGGTGCCCTGTCAACATTACCTGTCCCCTCCGCCCCCCCACCCTGTGCTGAAGTGTCTTTTGCTGATTATATTCGTTAACTTTAGATGTTTGACTGTCTGCTGAGTGACGCTACCCTCTTTTTCTCTTTCCTCCAGTATGTCTTTGCTCAATCATAGCTGTGACCCCAATTGTTCCATTGTGTTCAATGGGCCCCACCTCTTACTGCGAGCAGTCCGGGACATCGAGGCAGGAGAGGAGGTAAGCCACCTGCTTTTCCCACCGTCTGGCCTCCTTTTCATCAGAGACCCTTCCCTGAAACCAGCTGTGCCTGAGGGACAGCTTGTCCCGATCCTTCTGCCAGGGAGAAGAGCCATAATGTGTCCACCCAGTGACCGATTTTCCCCTTAGTCCTTATCCAGGATTATAGGTGGATTGCCTTTGTAAACCACCATTTCTTTAGATCTCAGCGGGTCCTCTTGTGTGTGTGCAAGAGAGGGATATGAGCATGTGACAGAGTGTCCATGTTCTGTGCATGTGATGGTTTGCCAGCCTTTCGTATCCCGGCCAGTGCTCATCCTTCGTGGGCAGGAGCGCAGCCTGGCTTGTGAATGGGATCCCAAGGGCTTATTACCCCCAGGGCTACTTGTCCCATTTTGCAGGTGACTCGTGTACCTTCATGACAAGAAAGCAAACAAGATTTACTCGTTCACGTGGTCATGGGGCCTTTGCAGAGCTCTCAACGTTTCTGTGCAATTGTTCAGCAAAGATGGGAAGGGCAGAGAGGCCAGGGAGTATAACCTCCTGTAGTGACTTAGCCTTGACCCCCCGGGGTTGTAACCTGCCACACCGGCCTCTTGGGAAGAAGAACCTTCTCCGAAGTGCCAGGTCTCACAAGGCAGCTGGGGATGAGCTGCCCCCGGGCTCCCAAACCGGAGCCCACACAGGGTTTGCACACGTAACCACCCCGAACGTGTGCTTATAGGTATTTACACTCTTTAGAACTTAGTTTCCTTCCACCTTCCAATTTGCTAAAGTGGATATTTATTGCAAGGAAAGCAGAGTATCATAAGCTTTGATTGCATTTATGCAGCACTCAACCAATAAAACCTAAACTCGGTCACCATATTTTATGTAGACAGGGATTGGGCTTCGATAAGACTCCCTCCAATCTGATTTTCAACTGAATAAGCTGTCTCCTATACAGCCACTTACTGGATTTCCGTTTTTAGGACCCCTGTGCTCAGTGCACTGGGGCATCTGTCAACGAGATGGAGAATTACATTGTTTTTTATTCTAGGGCTACGTGATTGCGAGGCAGGTAAGAAAGGGGGGCGCTGTCCATTTGCAGCCATATTAGGTGCGGGAGCTGAGGGCCCCCTGTCCCCGAAGACGAGGTTGCTGCCGCTGATAGGAGGATGATTTACTAAATTAAAAAAATCAGTAACTGGAGAGGCAAACAGAAAAACTAAAAGACACAGTCGGCATTTTCAGGAACAACAAGGAGATTTTCCTATGCCTTGTTTTCTAGGCTTGGTTGCCCGTTATTTTCATTGGTTGGTTTTCATTTAGTTGAAAAAAAGTCTTGTTTCTTGGTGCTAATTTCACTTTTTTCATGTCCTTTTCCTTCCATCTCTGGAGCAACAAGCAAATCCTTCCTCTCACTTGACACAAAATAATTGTGCTCAGCATCAGGCCCTGCAGACTCAGAGATGTTCCCGCACGATACTTATCAAAGCAGCTTCCCAACAAAGGGAGCATTCTCCCTCTAAGTCCTTTCATACTGTCTATTTGGAAGATAATTTTGTTTAATTGAGGTGTAATCAACATATGACATTCTGTAAGTTTCCAGTGTATCACACAATGATTCGATGTTTGTGTATATTGTGAAATGATCACCACAGTACGCCTAGTTAACGTCCATCACCAAACATAGTTACAGACATTTTTTCTCTTGTGATGAGAACTCTTAGTGACTTTCAAATATGCTTTGCAGTATTGTTAACTATATTTGCCATGCTGTACCTTATATCCCTAGGACTGGCTTACTTTGTACCTTTTGACCTGCTTCACCCATTTTACACCCCCCTCCCACCTCTGGCAACGACTGCTCTGTTCTCTGTGGCGATGAGCTTGATTTTTTTTTTTTTTTTTTTTTTTTTTCAGAAAATAAAATTTTCCCCACCCCATCGTGTGTCTTGGTGGGTGACATTTTGTCTGCACGGTTGTTCCCCGTGCCCCCCCCCCCATTTTCCTGTGTTAACGTCACATACCCTTCCAGATTCTTTCAAACATCATCTCTTCTATAAACCTCTTCCCGATTTCCCAGATTACAGGAAATGTCTTCCGCTTTGAGATCTCCTTTATTTTCTTTGAGGTTATTCTGGCCCTTCTGGTGACTTCTCTGTTTGCCGTAAGCATCATGAGGACAGGCCCTTGTGTCTTACTTCCATCTCTCCCTTAGTACCCAGTACTTGGCCTTGCCGCCAGGAGACATTCATGGCCTGTTGTTGACTTGACTTCCATTAAAGTGAGCTTCCGTGGAGCCCAGGATTGCTTTCCCTGAGGGAACTGTTGGCATTCTGGATGGTCAGCGGTTCACTGCGTCGGTGAAGGCTGCTGTCCTGAGTCCCTGCTCAGTTGATGCCTGTAGCTGCCCACCCCAACACCTGACATTCCTCCCACACATTTCAAACTGCCCCTTGGGGCAGAGGGAGAACCAGGAGGAAAGACATTTTGAGGTTGATTAAGAGGGATAGTTCCTTTTTATTGTGCAAATATTTGCTTTAGTTCAACTGAGCAAGGAAGTAAATTTAGAAGCTCTTGGCAGTTTCAGAGGATCAGCTTTGCATCTTGGCTCTACTGCCCATCAGGGAGCCCCTAGTTCTAGCACGTGCTCCCTGGGATGTGAGTCCCAGGATACAGGCTCCATGAGGGACGGCTGTATAGTGCTTCTTAGAGAGAAGATCCGTACTCTGTATCTGTTGAGTGAGTGAATAAGGCTTGCTGCAGACAAAACCAGAGGTGGAATAGAATGTTAGAGCCATTTTTAAAGCTACCACTAATCTTCAGGTGTGTCCCACGGGCCCCAGAAAGAAAGTAACATGAAAGCCAGCCATTGCCAGTTTGAGATGAGAACATTTCAGACCTCAGCCCGGGAGACTGGGAATTTGCATAGGTTCCACAGTAGAAGTCACCATGGAAATTTCCTACCCTTTGTTTCTCTGCACATGAAGCCCATCCCTTGGACCACTTTCAGACCCTTCACTTCAAACCAGCACTATCTATAACACTTTGCTACTTCAGGATTTCCACTGTAATGCTGAGTTGTTGGGTCTGTTGGTTTGGTTTGGTTTAGTTTGTTTGGTTTGCTTTTGCTTTGGGGTTTTTGTCTCCTCATCTAGTACCTCCTACAGAGAGGTTTATAGTAAGGTTTGAGGCATGGCCCCCATGCTGGATTGCTGACAGCTGCCTCTTCAGGGTTCTGATAAGCCATGAAATGTGTGTTATCTGCTGATGGTTTTCTAAAACATGGATCAGGGAAGAAAGCTGGACAGTCTAGGCCACCCTCGTGGAAATTCCTGGTAAGAAGAGGTTGTAGCTGTTACAGATAACGCCCCTGGCTGCCAGCATCCTCTGGAGCCGTATCAACTGTGAAAAATATGATTTGCATAAACTGAGCATGTCAGTATCCCTCATATTGGTTTTAATTTAAATTGTGTGGGATTAAGACAGTCTGTTTCTTCTCTCAGTCCTCTTATATGCTAAGTCATTTGACAAATTCACTGCCTACTTATTGGGTATCATGTCCTGGGGTGGGCATTGGGAGTACAAAGATGAGTAAGACCTAGGCTTGCCTTCCAGAGCTCAAGGTATAAACAAGGAAACTGACATAAAACAGAAAATAGTAAGAGAATATGAAATGTACAATAGTATAAAGTACATAGGGCTTTATAGACGTTCAGATTAGGGGCATCCAGGTGGTGGTAGGGGGCAGGGGTGGGCGAGTGGGTAAGAAAGGCTTCCAGAGATGTGACTCCTAGACTCTCGAAGGATCCATAGAGTTCAGCTTGGCTGACACAGGTGAAGGCGTTCTAGACAAAGACACAGAGACAAGGGACAGAATGGTGAGTTCAAGGAGTAGGAAGCATTCTTATCAATTGACTGAAGACTTTGAATGTGACCAACCTATGAGGGAATATGCAGGGACCAGACGTGATTGTAGGACCCCATGGGGGCCTTATTAAGGAACTCCTAACAGTGTCTGGTCTATGGGAGGCACTCAGTAGATATTCATGAAGGGGTTGGGGACAGGCAATGGGGCCACACTGAAGCAGAGGAACTGTGATCAGTTTTTCCATGTGTAAGCAAGGTTGGACCAGTGAGGGTCAGGTTGATGCAGTAATCCAAGCAAGAGGTGACAATGGCTCCCCGAAGTCAGGAGAAATTCACGTGGTGGCTCATGATGGGGGATCTGAAGAATATGATATTTAGAAGCTAAAATTAGCAGGATTTGCTAATGACCGAGTACAAGGGTGTGACAACAAGAAGAGAAACACTAACACTCAGGTGTGATTTTAAAAAGAAGTGAGATTTGCAGTCTTGTTTTCAGTTCAGAGCCAGTAACCGCAGAAAAATTTGTAATTGTGACTGTGTGATTCCAGAAATGAAAATGAAGTCTAATTTTAATTTGGTCTTCTTATCCACTCTGTTGTACATAATGAAAAGATGGGCTTCATGGAAAAGGGGTTCCTTTGCCTTGAAATATTCAAGTAAGCAATATATCCAATATCCAGCAAATATCTTTCATGATATTACTCTAATGTTGGAAGTGATTTACTGCATTTCCCATACAAACTGCTCTAAAATGGCAAAGCAATGGTCAGTGGCATTAATATTTTAATGCGATTTTGTTCTATGCCATTAAAGCATCCACTGGTCAATGGCCACGTTTCATATATACGTTCCTGCTAAATGAGCCCTACATGTAGTGAGCAGATTCTTCATTAAAAGTGGTGAACCAGTGAGTCTTCAAGAAAGGGTTTTTATCTTTGGCTGATAAAATGATTTCACTGTCATTGCCCGTTAGTAACCTATGGTGCTTTTCCCCCCCAAAATATGCATAAAAATGTTTTGCCATTGAGATCTTCAGTTTTGACACAGTATTTTGTGAACTTGGATGAATGTGGAAGGGGCAAAAAGGAGGGAATGAGGCAGTGTTCATGGGAAGCGGCGTGTTTGAGCCAAGCTTGCGGGCTGAGAGCGCTCTGAAGAAGCTGATGGTGCAGGGCAGGCACGGGCTAGCTGGGGCAGGGATGCTCCATACCGGCTCGCACCGAGCACACCGTTTCTGAGGAGTTGCCGTGTATATAACCATGAAGACTGGAAAGTGTCTGGAGAGATATCCAGGCTAGAAAGGCAGACAGAAGATCAGTGGGCAAGACTTTGTGTGCCTTACCCGCAGCCAACAAACCCAGGGCCCATTAGAAAGCCATAGCCCAGTCCAGGTAGTGATCACAGGCAGTTACAGGGTAGTGATGGAGGCTGTTAGAGTCTAGTTAGTGGGGTTAAATGAAATAACTAGTCTCCTGTTGCCCGTTCACTGCCTGGCGTGATCACTTGTGAGTTGGCCCTTGTAATTAAGTCTTAGGTTAACCAAACTTCTTTCTCTGGCCCTGGGTTTGTTGGTTTCACATTCAGTTCATTTTACCATCACCTCATTTAAGGAAACCGGGGCTCTCAGAGCCTGTTGAGACAAGATGAACGCATACCCTTCCCCAGACTTACTAGCAGGCGGTTTCAAAAGTGTGCTTTGAAATTGGTTATTTGGAATTTGGGACCTGGAGTTATCCTACAACAAAGCCTGGTATGATGGCCCTTTGCATCTCCCAGGCAGCCCCAGGTTCAGATCACAAGCAAGAAAAGGGATTTAGGGACTTAAATCCGAAGGAGCCCAGTTGTCACAGAACAGTGTGGAGTGCAGGCTTATGCATTTTAGGGTTGATGCCAGTGCAGCCCCTCCAGAGGCGAGTCTCCATTCAGCCCCCAGAAGGATGAGAAGCAGCCATATTAGAGAAAGAGTATCTGGCTTGAATCAAGGGATGTGGGTCCAAATCCCCGAGGGATCCCAGACCTTTGCTGATTTTTAACTGTCTCACACGCCTCGCTCCGTGAGTGCCTAGCACGTAGTAGATGTTCAGTAACATCGTTGCCTGCACTTCTTGAGGCCAGATACTCTTATTTCTGTGTTTCAGAGCATAGTTGCCTAACATGGGAAGGGTCTAGAGAGAGCCAGCTAGCCAGACCGGGCCGTGGCTTCTGTCACCCTGGGGGTGGCCATGGGGGCTGGGACAGCTCTGGTTGGCTGACCAGGCCTTTCTTCCACTGAGACCCGCCCAAAGCTATGGAAGGCGACTCAGACCAGGACGGTCACATTGGGAAAGGTAGAAAGTGGTTGATTCTGGATATATTTTTAAGATTGAGCACACAGAATTTCCTGGTGGATTGGGCAAGAATGTGAAAGGGAGAGAGAAATCAAAGATGACTTTGAGGTTTCTTCTTGAAGGACATGAAAGATGCATTGCTGTCAGCTGAGATTGGGATGGCTCCAGCAGAGATGGAACAGGCCTAGGGAGATCAGGAGGGCCATTTTGTGTATGTTGAATTAGCCTTTCAGCGTACATAGATCTGGTCAAGTGTGGGATGTGTGAACATCGCAATATTACCCAAAGACCTATGTCTCCAAGTGGGACTTGACAGCGACAGGGACACCTGACCTTTCACCATCCAAGACAACATAATCACTGTTTGAAAGGGCCCAAGGAAGTCAGCTTAAGAGCTTCCATCTAGGATCACATTCTGACATTAGTTCTCCCTACTTGGAAATTATTCCTTTTTTTTTTTTTTTAAGATTTTATTTATTTATTTGAGAGAGAGAGAGAATGAGAGACCGAGAGCATAAGAGAAGGGAGGGTCAGAGGGAGAAGCAGACTCTCCAAGAGCAGGGAGCCCGATGTGGGACTTGATTCCGCGACTCCAGGATCATGACCTGAGCTGAAGGCAGTTGCTTAACCAACTGAGCCACCCAGGCGCCCCCTTTTTCTGTAGTCACAAGTAAAACAGTCTCCTAACTTCAAAGCCACCAAATTTGGTTGACTTCAAATTCCATGAGGCTGCAGGACTGATTAGGATTTAAGAGCATCTGGGTGCATCATCTGCTGCCCCTTTGGGGGCTAGAATTGATCTGGCTTCTCTGATTGCGAGCGGTTATAGCTTTTACTACCCAGCCTTGGTATTACCCAACACACACCAGCTCTTGATATTCTCTTATTTGGTGGATAAAAGGCGGGGTGTAAAAGTGTATAGAGGCCAGGAGTCCAGGTCTTTAAAGTAAGTATATAATATACAGGTGCTCACCACACAACAAAGACTGGAAGGTAATGCATTAAAATTTTGCAAGTGATTATTTGCATATAGAGACTGTAAGTAGTATCTTTCCTTTTTGCGCTTTTTGGTATGTAATGAAAATGTGTTTTGCTTAAATAATCAGCAATGATAGTAAGCATGTGTTAAAGATGATGAGCACCGCAGCCACGTGACCCTCTCCTCTGTGGCCCCCCCAGCTCACCATCTGCTACCTGGACATGTTGATGACCAGTGAGGAGCGCCGGGAGCAGCTGAGGGACCAGTACTGTTTCGAATGTGACTGTTTGCGATGCCAAACCCAAGACAAGGTATGGGGGGGGGGGCGAGACCATCTTGGAGCATCTCCCAGGCACGATCCCAGTGACCTCTCAGAGAACCCCACTTTTCTTTCATTAATCCACAAAGAAATGACTCTCATGCAGAGTGGGAAACTAAGGTGGGTAAAAAGAATGCATTGTGGGGCACATGTTTTATCTCCTTGAACTTTTATCACTCACGAAGCAGTGAGAGGTTTAATCTCAGGTAGGGATCTATGGAGCTTAGATTCTAGAGGGAATATAGGCGATAAACGTATAACGAAAAGGACATTGAAGGCTGGAGCGCTGTTAGATCATACAACAGGGGGGTTAGGGTACATTATGGCTGGTAAGCTACCGCTCAATTAGTGAATGTACTGAGTCATTCCTAGTTTTTTATTTCCTTGTTCTGTAAGGCTTTTTGCTATAACGCTTATGGCAGAGAGAGCTCACTTATCTCTAGCAACTTTTACTCTCTGAGAAAGGAAGAAAAGCCAAAATAAATGCCATAAAGACAATGAATGAACTTAGGTTAAAAAAAAGATAATGAATGAATTTTCTCCTATTATTCATGTGCTTCCCTCACATTGAACCTATTGACTTTTGGTTTGCACACAGTCGAGTTATCTGATTAATAACTCTTACTTTTGCAGAGTGTTTTGTATTTGTGGGAATTCTTTTGTAATTACTATGTCGTTTAACTCAATAATTGTGAATTAGGAAATGCAACTCAGAAAGGTTTGGAGGTGTGCCTGTGGGAGACTCTGGGTGAAGAAAACGGGGCAGAACCAAGTCTCAAACTTAGGTCTTTTGACTGAATCTAGTGCTCCTTCCTCTCTACCATAGAGCCACCTGTGGTCTCTGGTGCCAGGATCAATGGAGAAAGGTTTCTGTTTTCCCTGAAGGAGAAGGGACCACGTGCTCATTCTAATGAGGCAGGAATCAGTGAACACGATTAGTTTTTCATGAAAAAGAAATAAATGCGCTAAATGGGAAAAGTTGGATCCACCGGTAATACCTGCCCAAGATTCAGTCTGCTTTAGCATTAGCCTTTTGTGGCAGCCACGCATGCTGGAATTATAGGGGATCCCCTGGGATTTCTCCCCAGACCATCATCTGCAATGGCAAGAAGCAAGCTATCTTCCCACCAGCCTCCTTGAAGGGGAGGTCTTGGATTTAGTGCCTCTTACACTTCATCTGTATTGTAGACCCACAAAAACTTTCTCGGATAGATGCTTGTATTTTATTAAAATTGGGGTCATGTTCACTTTTGGGTTTTTTTGGTGTAGTTAAAATCAGGCTAGAAATTGTCTATTAGGAAAAGGCTTCGCCTAAAATAACAGATAACCCAACTAAAATGGTCCCAGGATGACTGATGCCCTCAACCCTCAGCCAGCGTGTCCAAGCTCTAGACATGAAGAAGAAGGGGTAATAAAAGGCAAAGAACAAAGGGCAAAGCTCCTAGGGATTTCCACCTACACTTGACTGTTCAGAACTGTATCGTATGACCCCTGTTAGCTGTAAAAGAGGTGAGGAAACTACATTTTTAGGTTTTCAGCCTTTAAACTAGAGGAAGACAAGGGAGAGGAAGGTTGTGAGTGGCTTTTGCGAGGCTGATCTACAGTGTCCACCGTGTTCATTGAGACCATTTTCTTTCCTCTTTTGGGCTAAAAGTTTAATATTGTATTAGGGTTCTCCAGAGAAAGAGCACAACATGGTGTGTGTGTGTGTGTGTGTGTGTGTGTGTAAAGGAGTAGTGGGGGGGATATTTATTATAAGGAGTTGGCTCATGTGATTGTGGAGACTGAGAAGTCCCAAGACCTGCAGTTGGTAAATGGGAGACCCCTGGTGAAATTCTAGTCTGATCCAGGAAGAGCCAGCCTTTCATTTGAGTCCAAAGGCAGGAGGAAAAAAAACAGCTCAAAGGCAATTGGGCAGGAGGAGTTCCCTCTTCCTTGTGGTAGGGTCAGTCTTTGTTCTCCTCAGGCCTTCAAGTGATTGGGTGAGACCCACCCACACTGGGGAGGGCAGTCTACTGATTCAAATGTGAATCTCATCCAAAAGCACACACATACCCAGAATAATGTTTAACCAAATACCTGGACACCCTGTGACCCAGTCAAGTTGATACATAACATTAACCATCATAAATGTTGTGTTAGAGATGGACCAAATGGTAACATGGAAAAAGTACTTAATAATTCTGCTTGATTCTAATCCATTCTGTGCCTGACACACTGAGTGGCCTTGGGCAAATCATTCAACCTCTCAGATTTATTTCATCATCTGTCATACAAGGGACCCATATCTCATTGTGGTTTTGATCTGCATTTCCTCTGTGGTCACTACATTGAACCTCTTTTCATGTACCTGTTGGCCATCTATATCTCTTCACACCTGTCAGAATGGCTAGAATCAAAAAGACAAGAAATAACAAGTGTTGGTGAGGTTGTGGAGAAAAGGGAATGCTTGTGTGTTACGTTATTGGTGGGAATGCAAACCCGGGTGGCCACTATGGAAAACAGTTTGGAGGTTCCTCAAAAATTTAAAAATAGAACAACCATATGATCCAGCAATTTTGCTTCTGGGTATTTATCTAGAGGAAATGAAAACACTAACTTGAAAAGATCTCCGCATCCTCATGTTCATTGCAGCATTATTTACAATAACCAAGACATGGAAACAACTTTAAGTGTCCATCCATAGATGAATGGTTCAAGAAAATGTGGTATATATACACTGGAAGATTATTCAGCTGTTGAAAACAAGGGAATCTGGCCATTTGCAAGAACATGGATGGACCTTGGGGGCATTATGCTAATTGAAATAAGTCAGACAGAGAACGACAAACACGGTATATAACACAACGGAATTAAATTGGATGCTCTTAAAGCCCCTTCCAGCTCTGTTATCCCATGTTTCTCTGAAATGTTTTCCTAGGAGAAGTGAGTGGGGTGTGTATTGAGATGAGAATAGAAACCTGATTTCAATTAGCTCATCAGTTATATTTTCAAGTTTCTATTTACCTGAAAATTTTATTCTGTTTTGTGATGTAAACATCCCTCTTGAAATCTCTGTATTGCTGATTTGCTTTGAAAAAATAAGACAGGTGAATCCAGCTTAACGCATTCCCCAAAGATTATGAATTCAAAACTACTTCAGTCAAAATTAAATTTACTTACAGTTCCTAGGCTTAAAGTTTTCAAGATTATTTTTCTGCTTTTCTTGGACCATAAGAAATTCATCTCAACAAGTTTCCATGTGAGGCAGTATTTATTACAGTGCTCGAATCTGCATGGTGCTGGACTCATGCGCTGACCTGTTTCAGGAAGGCAGGAGGCCTATCAGAGCGGCTGTGATTTACATGTGTGGGGTTAGGTGTCATTTCTAGTCATCAGCAGTTTAATTTCTGGAAGGAATAGAACTTACCTTCTAAGGGAGGCTTTGGAACGATTTGGCTTCTCCTGTGGTTTGCCCAGGTCAGAATCCTAGGCCATAGAAACAGAATAATAGACCAATGGGAATTGATTGTTCCCTTAAGTTTGTGGGCAGTGCGCAGCATGCTTCCTTGGATGTTGCCTGCTTTGTGGCAAGAAAAAGCTGTGTTTCCTGGCCATGTCACTTTTTCTTTCCTAAAGCCTGTTACATTTGATCCTTCTTCTAAAACACAGTCAGTTTACTAATAACACCGTTGCCTCACCTCACTCCTGGATTATTGAAATAGCCCCTAATTGGTCCCCTGGCCCTCCATGTCCCCTCGATCATCCATCCTGCACACTGTCCTACAGTAAGTTTTCTGAACCACCACTGTTTCCATGTCATTGCTTTGCTCAGAATTTTGGAAAACATTTGCCATTGGCTTTAATCTTCAGGATAAACTTCAGACTCTTAGCTTGGCATTCGAGGCCATGACCCCAAAGTCCAACCTACCTTTTTTCCCTTCCTTTCTCTGCCTTCCCCAATGCGTTCTGTCTCATCACACCCTCCCACCACTCAGAAGCCTCGGAAGGGCTTCCAGGCACACATCCGTACACTTCTCTCTGCATATCAATCTAAGTATGTAAATGTAGGCAGAGTAGCTCTGTGCTTTAATGGCTGTAAATCTTACGTTGATTTGTGAAATAAGAGTGACAGGAAATAAGACAAAAGCAAGTCAGTGCCCCAAAGGCATTCCGTATGATCCTATAAAGTGACCAGAAACCAATCACAAATTACTCTAACTCTCCCAGCAGCCAAAGCTGAAGGACTGAGTCAGAATTCACAGTAGCTGTGAGGTTGGACACACACCTGGTCCTCGGCCAAAGCCCAGTTTTTCCCGGTACTGAGGCCAGAGCCGCTCCAGAGGGTCCCAAAGAGGCAGTGGGCAACATCCTCAGCAGACTCCACAATTATTTAAATAGCTGATTTTTTATAATATTTTCAATGTGGCTGATAGACATAATTTCAAATTGTAACTTAATAAAAGAAGTAACACGAAAGGTTAAAATTTATATACTCTTGGTTCCTATCTCTCTGATGGTTTGCTCCCTTCTAAGAATAAAATTCACACTGTACCAAGGGAAGCAAGGACTGCATACACTTCAGATGATCCTTCATTAATGGTATTTCTTGCAGTCTTTTCAATTCTTTATTTTAATTTTCATTAAAGTGATACATGCATACAGTCTGAAAAATCAAAGTGCTAGAAGCCAGTTCAAAACACTAGTACGCTTTCCCTCTCCTGCTCCCGAGATAACCCTTTTTGGGTTTGGCATTTATTCTCTGTTTCTAAAGCTAAAGCTCCCTTAAATCACATCCTAGGGATGTTGTTTGCTACTGGGTTGGTTTAAGGACTCTTTTTTATTCTTAGGATTTCAAGTTTGGTTTTTTTCCCATATCTCCCAGTTTATGTTTTATTTCTCCCTATCTCTGCTTCATACCTTCATATTCTCTCCTCCTGAGTCCTCCTCTGTTACTTACCTTTTTGAGCATCTGCATCATACCCTAAGAGTCTTGGTCAGTCAGAGCCATAG